CGTTCATCACGCTAGCATCCTACCATGACAACTGGAAAAGGGAGTTCACGCGACATCTCACCCAGAAATTCTGGTGCTCACAATTTAATCTGAAAAGCAACAAGATCACACACACATGCAACGAAAGACACCTTGAAAGTCAGAAAGGCAAATATTAAACATTCTTGCAAGCGGCCAGGCACAGTGGCTCATGCCTGTAATCCCAGTACTTTGGGAGGCAGAGGCAGGTGGATCCACGAGGTCAAGAGATTGAGACCATGCTGGCCAACATGGTGAAACCCTGTCTCTACTAAAAATACAAAAATTAGCTTGGGTATGGTGTGGTGGGCACCTGTATCCCGCTGCCCGGAAGCTGAGCAGAGAGATCACTTGAACCCAGGAGGCAGCAGTTGCAGTGAGCTGAGATTGCACCACTGCACTCCAGCCTGGCAGCAGAGCTAGACTCCACCTCAAAAAAAAAAAAAAAACTCTCACAAGCCACAGAACCTTTGGACGCAGCAGTTCTGTGTGCACTTCTATTACTATGATTTTCTCCACAGGTACACTGGGGTCCTCTTGTCACTCTCGGCATGTGACTCACTGCTGTAATGTCACCTTTGCTTTAGCAATCATGAAAGAAAAAACACTGCCTTTGGCTCTACTCTATTTGTCTTACCCTGGATCGCCCATCCCAAGGTTTATGAGTTCCTAGGTCCCTTTCTTTTTAAAAATATTAAATTTTGTTTCACTTATCAATCACCTGGAGCTTGGTTATGCCGCTCAAACTAATCCACACTGTTAGAAGTGGGGCTGGTAGTTGCCCAGAGAAGGCAGTGGCTGAGAGGGCCATGATGGCAGATTCAGAGCCCACAAATGATCGATTTGATGATGCTGGTAGTGACCTATTTTTTCCTTTTGAATGTTGGTTACTGATGTGGTTTGGTCTGTGTAAATGTATTCAAGCTGAATTCTTCTGGTGACCTCAGGTGATCTGCCCACTTCAGCCTCCCAAAGTGCTGGGATTACAGCATGAGCCACCACGCCTAGCCGTCTATTTTTACTTTGAACATAGCACCCAACCATTCAGAGGTATGGAAATTTAAGTTCAATGACCCTAAACAGATAAATGCCTATCTTGTCTTAGCCCAACAGCTAATCCTACAGTCCAAGTACTGTACCAGTTTGACAAGGTCCAGGTTATCTCTAGAAAATGAGATTTTTTTTTTTTAAGGGAAGGGTAGACCCAAACTGAGTGAGTCCCCAAAAAACTAAAGTAATATTAAAAGCAATTTATAGGAGTCAAACTACAGAATCATAGAATAAAGAGCCACTCTACAAAAAGGTAGAGCCACTGAGCTGCCGAACTGGGTCCTCAGGCTGCAGCTGGCTCAAAACCCAAGTGATTCCCAAGATTGTAGACACTAACAAGCCATGTGTCAACAATAGCTGGCAAATTATTTCTTGCAATATTGGTTCATGCTTGCTATCTTGGGATCTTATGTTTGTCATCTGCAACATATGAACAAGTATAATCTTTCTCACAGAGGCAATCTGATAAACACTTTAAAAACGTAAGATACATTTTGAGGCAATTGGGGTCATTTGAACATGGATTGTACATTAAATGATATTACTGAGTAATGTTAATTTTCTGAGCTATGATGATGGTATTGTGGCTATGTAGGAGACCGTCCTTGTTCATATGAGATGCACACTTAAATTTTTGTGGATGAAGTATCACAATGTCTGCAACTTACTTTCAAATAGTTCATTCAAAACAAACATTCATACAAGCACATGCGCGTGCGCACACACATATACTCACACACACACACAGAGTAACAGAAATTGAGAAGCGCTTGACTAACATGCCAATTTCATAAAAGTACCCTTATTGTTGAGTGTCAGAGTACTTATTATAAACATGGATGTTAACTGAATATTTATATCCTAAATGCTGGGCATTCCCGCCTTCTTCCTGCACCTGGAAGCTAGCAACCAGACTTTAACATCCAGGAAACAGCGTGGAAGATACTTCTTTACAGAGAATATGACTAGCCCGTAAGAAAAGTCCTAAAGATACTGCCACTGGGGTGTCATCAACAACACAGCCCAGCCAGATCCCCCTAACTATAGGTGTGGGTAGATACCACCTATAGGTTGACCAACCCAATCCACACGCCACTACTCTTTTTTTCTTTTTTTTGAGACGGAGTCTCACTCTGTCACCCAGGCTGGAGTGCAGTGGTGCGAACTCAGCTCACTGCAAGCTCCGCCCACGGGTTCACACCATTCTCCTGCCTCAGCCTTCCGAGTAGCTGGGACTACAGGCACCCGCCAACACGCCTGGCTAATTTTTTGTATTTTTAGTAGAGACTGGGTTTCACTGTGTTAGCCAGGATGGTCTCGATCTCCTGATCTTGTGATCCGCCCTCCTCGGCCTCCCAAAGTGCTGGGATTATAGGCGTGAGCCACTGTGCCCAGCCGCCACTACTCTTGAGAGCAGCCAAACAAACAGCATGAGGCATCAGAGGAAGCCTCTAGTATAAAAAGCAGAGACAAAAATGCAACAGAGACTATAAAGGGAGAAAACTTAGTTAAAAAATCAAAACTACCACTAATATACTCAGATAACATGCTGCAACCATGAAATAAGAACAGACTACTATACAAAGAGATAATGTAGAGGGGAAAGAAACTTTTGAAAATTAAAAATATGATAGCAGAAATTTTAAAAAACTCAATAAAGGGATCAGAACACAGTCTCTTCCACAAAAAGATGTGAAACAGAAAAGAGAGAAAATAAGAAAACTGAAGTGTCAGTCCAGAAAGTCCTACATCTTTTTTTCTTTTTCAGACAGTTTCACTCTTATCGCCTAGGCTGGATTGCAATGGCGCAATCTCAGTTCACTGCAACCTCCATCTCCTGAGTTCAAGCAATTCTCTTGTCTCAGCCTCCCAAGTGGCTGGGATTACAGGCACGCACCACCATGCCCAGCTAATTTTGTATTTTTAGTAGAGACAGGGTTTCCGCATGTTGGTCAGGATGGTCTTGAACTCCTGATCCCAGGTGATCAGCCTGCCTAGGCCCACCAAAGCGCTGAGATTATAGGCATGAGCCACCACGCCTGGCCCAGGAAGTCCTACATCTGAATAATAAATTCCAGAAAAAGCAAACAGAAAAAAAGTCGGTAAGACACTATGATGATATTAAATATTCAATTAATATCCATGTTTACTGAAAGGCATGAGATTCCACATTGAAAGGGCCCTTCACGTGCCCAGCATGATGGATAAAAATAGACTCACACAAAGGACCATTGTCATTAAATTTCAGAACACTAGAAACAAAAAGAAACATCCGACGAACTTCCAGAGAGGAAAAAACAGGAATCAAAGTTTCAAATAATTTACTTCCCATGTACCCTTTCTCAAGAAACTATGGGAGGGAATGCTCTACCAAATCCATAGAAAATCAAGAAAGAGGACTTGAGACACAGGAACCACGAAAAAGCCAGCACAAGAAGGAGAAGCCATCTCCCCAGGAGGATGGTGAGGGGCATCCCAGGAGAGCTGTGCTCAGGGAAAGTGGTTGGGCAGGACGTGTGAAGAGTTCTCCAAGGAGGTAAATCCATAGAATGCCTCATATGCCTGAACATAAAAGGAGATTAAGACCACTGGGGATGAGTCTGGGGTTGAAATTTGAAATACTAATAATACAAAACTTAAAAAGTAAGGCAATTATTAATGCCAGGGAAAACAAAAAGTGGTGCAGGAAAGGAGAATTTATCATTAATTCAAGGCTCAACTATGAACAGGTTTATGTAATCATAGTCAGAGAAAACAGATCTAACGAAAGTTTTATATCTATATGGGAGTAATAATGGGAATAGAAAAGGTGAACGCATTATAAGAGGCAAAAAGACAGAAACAAAATCTTCATCTTCCTTAGAAGTCATTAGATAATTCCTCAAGTTCATAAGTCAGAAAGCAGCAAGACAGTGTGGCATTGGGAAGTCTGGATGTAAATGCTAAAAGGAGGCGTCAAAAGAGCTTAAAGTGAAAGCCACTGAGAGGGGAACAATGAAGAATAAGGGGACAGGAGATCACTGGATTTTTGTTACTTTTTTTGTAATAAATCTTTGACTACATATATTTATATGTAAATGTGTATATATAAAGAGACTACATATAAATATATGATTTTATACACGTATAAGATATATAACTTTAACATAAATTATACATATAATTTTTGTATATACAACTTAAGAAAATATATATGTATAACTAAGAAAGCAAAAATATTGTGAAATATTGCTTACCAAGTTATTATATATTTTAAAAATTCTTCTTTATTATCAAACTATAGGTAAATTATAGAAGTATTTCATTAGATATTACCCATTACATTTGAACAATATAAAATAATCTGCTTTCATATTAAATTATTAGTCTATTTAGGTGTACATGATAATTATCATAGCATATATAAGTACTGATTCCAAGTATTTTTGGCCGATTTCATTTCACAACATAATATAAAGTACTGGTGGTTATATAAAGTACTCACCAGCTCTAGTGGACTAAGACGTGCGCCAGAGATAGGCCTGGAATCAGATGACTCAAAACTGGATGCATGGAGGCTAGCATAAAAGATGGTGCACAGTGTTAGTTTGTGAAGAATTATTTATTTATTTATAGTATATATTAGTTAACTCTAGCTAAAAAGCAAGTAAAAGGATGCAATGCATAAGCCTTAAGGAAAAACATTTTTTAATGTTATTGTACTTAAAACAGTTTATTAAGAAGTCTTTTGATTACATTTAGGAAGTTTGAAATATACTGAATAATGAAAAGAATAAGTGTATAGAGGAATTTTTTAAAAAGCTTTGTTCATATCACTTCAGAAAGCTGGTATGGGACAACCGCTAGTAACCATTTCATTCCAAAGTAACTTCTTGAACCAGTGTTTGAAATCACTTCTAGGAATCTTGAACAAAATTCAAACTTAAAAAGACAACTACCTTGAAAATCAATCAATGTAATCTATCACACCACAAGCTAAAGAAGATACAGAAAATACAAGCTAAAGAAGATACATATTAGCAGATATAGAAAAGGCAACTGGCAAAATCCAACACTCATAATAAAAATTCTTAGCAAACTAGGAATAGAAGAAAAATTCTAAGAATATCTACAAGAAACCTACAGCTAACATCATATTTACGGTAAGAAAGAGTTTTCCCACTAAGATGACAAAGAAAGCAAGGATGTCCCCTCTTACTACTGCTTTTCAGTATCATACAGAACATCCCAGCTAATGCGATAAGATAAGAAAAAGAAATTAAAAGCATACAGATTGGGAAGGAAGAAATAAAACTCTTTGTTTGCAGATAACAGGATTATCTATGTAGAAAATCCTAAAGAACTGACAAAACCTCCTGGAACTAATAAGTGATTATAGTACAGTTGCAAGATACAAGGTTGGAAACTGAAATGAAAACATATTATCATTTACATTAGCACTTCAAAAATTAAATACTTATAAATCTAACAAGATATGGATAAAATCTAGATGAGGAAAGCTACAAAACTCAGTGAAAGAAATAAAAAAACTAAGAAAATGGAGAGAGCTTCCATTTTCATGGCTAGGAAGACTCAATGTTGTCAATATGTCAGTTCTTCCCAACTTGATCTATAGATTCAATGCAATCTCAATCAAAATCCTGGCAAGTCATTTTGTAGATATTGACAAACTGATTCTAAAGTTTCTATGGAGAGACAAAAGACCCAGAATAGCCAACACAATGTTGAACAAGAAGAACAAATTTAAAGGACTGACACTCCCTGACTTTAAGACATATTATAAAGCTACAATAATAAAGACAGTATAGTACTGGTGAAAGAATAAACAAAGAGATCAATGGAACAGAATAGAGGGCCCAGAAGTAGACTGACATAAATACAGTCAACTGATCTTTGACAAAGGAGCAAAGGCAATACCATGGAGAAAACATAGCTTTTTCAAAAAATGGTGCTGGGCTCTTTCACGGAGGTGGAGGCTCGATGCATTCAAGATCCACCTTCACTCATAACCCATTGCCATGGCCAAAGAAGACACTGCTGCTGGAGGTGCAGTGGATGTTAATACTGCTTTAAAAGAGGTGCTGAAGACCAGTCTCATCCAGGACAGCCTAGCACATGGAATTTGCAAAGCTGTCAAAGCCTCAGACAAGAGCCAAGCCCATCTTTGTTGCTTCCATCTAACTGTGATGAGCCTGTCTATGTCAACTTGATGGAGGCCCTTTGAGCTGAACACCAAATCAACCTAACTAAGGTTGATGACAAGAAACTAGGGTAATGGGTAGGTTTCTCTAAAACTGACAGGGAGGGAAATCCCATAAAATGGTTGGTTGTAGTTGTATCGTAGGACTATGGAAAAGAGTCTCAAGCCAAGGATGTTATCAAAGAGTACTCCAAATGCAAGAAATTGACAAGTAAAACCTTGGCTCATATTCCTAAAAAACAAACAAACAAAAACAAAAAAACAAAAAACGGCGCTAGGACAACTGGACGTCAACCATCTACATGCAAAACAAAAACAAAACACAAACCTAACACCCTTCACAAAAATTAACTCAAAATGGGTCATAGACCTAAATGTAAAACACAAAACTATAAAATCCCTAAAACATAACACAGGACAAAGTCTAGAAAACCTTGGGTATTCCGGTGACTTTTAACATACAACACCAAAAGCAAGATCTATGAAAGAAATTGGTAAGCTTGACTTCAGTAAAATTAAAATTTTCTGCTCTGCAAAAGACACCATCAAGAGAAGAAGAAGAAAAGCCGCAGAGCAGGAGAAAACATTTGCAAAAGACATGTAAGATAACGAATTGTTATCCAAAACACACAAATAATTCTTAAAATTCAACAAGAACACAAACAACCCATTTAAAAAATGGGCCACAGACCTTAACAGACACCTGACCAAAGAATACACACATATGTAAAATAAATATATAAAAAGATGCTCCACATCATATGTCCAGGGAAAGTAAATTAGAACAATGAGATACCACTACACACGCATTAGAATGGCCAAAATCTAGAACACTGACAATGCCAGTGCTGGCAAGGATGTGAGGAACAGGAACTCTCATTCATTGCTGGTGGGAATGCAAAATGCTACAGCCCGTTTGGAAGACAGCTTGGCAGTTTCTTACAAAGCTAAACACAATCTTCCCATACGATCCAGCAATCATGCTCCTTGGAATTTACCCAAAGGAGTTGAAAACTTCGACAGGTGTGGTGGCTCATGCCTGTAATCCCAGCACTTTGGGAGGCCAAGGCGGGCGGATCACGAGGTCAGGAGATTGAGACCATCCAGGCTAACATGGTGAAACCCCGTCTCTACTAAAAATACAAAAAAAAAAATTAGCTTGGTATGGTGGCGAGCACCTATAGTCCCAGGTACTCGGGAGACTGAGGCAGGAGAACGGCGTGAACCCGGGATGCAGAGCTTGCAGTGAGCCGAGATCGCACCACTGCACTCCAGCCTGGGCAACAGAGCAAGACTCCGTTTCAAAAAAGAAAAAAAAAGAAAACTTATGTCTACACAGAAACTTATACATGGATGTTTATAGCAGCTTTATTTGTAATTGCCAAAACTTGGAAGCAAATGAGATGTCCTTCAGTAGATGAATGGATAAACTGTGGTATAACCAGACAATGGAATATCATTCAGCACTAAAAAGAAATGAGCTATTCAAGCCATGATAAATCGTGGAGGAAACTTATTACTAAGTCAAAGAAGCCAATTTGAAAAGGTGACATACTATATATTCCAACTACATGACATTCTGGCAAAGGCAAAACTGTGGAGACAGTAAAAAGATCAGTGGTTGCTACTGGGTGGGGGAAGGAAGTGAAAAATAAGCAGAGCAAAGAATTTGTAGGACAGTGAAACTACTCTGTGTAATATTATAATAGTGGTCACATGTCATCAGAAATTTGTCCAAACACATAAAATGTACAACACCAAGAGTGAACCCTAATGTGAACTACAGCCTTTGAGTGATAATGGTGTGTCAAAGTATGTTCGTCGATTGTAACCAATGTACCACTCTGGTGGGGGATGGTGATAATGAGATGCTGTGGATGTGTTGTAGTAGGGGGTACATGGGAAATCTCTGTACCTTCCACTCAATTTTGCTGTGAACTTAACACTGTTCTAAAAAATAAGTCTATTTTTAAAAATAAGAATTAAGGGAAAGTATAACCTGGTGCTTAAATAGCTGAGTGAACAAGAATGCGAAATACCACATACCTGAAGGAGGAAGGAGGTCTATTTTCTGACGTTCTTGAGGATGCAGGTCCGAATAGTTTTCTTTGGGCTTCCTGTGGTGTAAATGGTCTTTGGGTTCTAACTGTTCTTAACGCATTTCGTGCTTCACTTATGATTTCTGCACTGGTCTTCTGCTTGGACACTGAAGATCGATAAAATGGATCCAGTTTTCCTAACATTTTATCATCTGGAGACAGCATCCTTCCTTTGAAAGTAAAATATTCTTCAGATAGACACCATGCCCTGCAAATACATGGTACAAAACCCATTAATTATTTGTATCCAGGACTTTATAAAAATGAATGCTTAAGCCTATCCATATATTAAACCATTCCTCTATATGAAGCTTTAAAAATCTGAATGAATTTTTAATTAAAAATCCGAATGAATTTTTAATTAAAAATCCACCAAGCAGTTAGAAGGTTAGGATCTGAGAACAACTCTCAAAAATGTAGAGAGGAAAATTTCCTCAAAAATACACAACTGAGGAAAAAGATGTGCAGGGAAGAAACCCAGGATGAAAGCTAAACCCAGAGAGAAAGACTAATCATGAAAGAAGACAGAATAGGAAGAGCGAATCAGCTCATGGTCTTCAGCCTACAAAAAACACTGAGGGTCCCGTTAAAATGTTTACAGTTTCCTTTTCTTCCCCACTGCCCTCCACACTATGTGATACTATAAGGTTAAATTTTAGACAGAAATGTTGTATTTCTAAAGGACACTTGATTTTGCAACAAACCTCAGAGAATGGTTCAGCCCCACATTTGTCCATGATACAACTGAATGAATTGATCCAACTCACCTATAATTTGAGGTAGTGACCTAAGTAAATAAATACCAAATATCAATACCAACTGATCCTTTCCCAACACCCCTTTCTGAAAGAGTTAAAGTCATTACAAGGGCCATGAGAATGCAGATCCTTCTCAAACATTGGTGTGTTCCATGGAGACAAATCTAAACTTTAAAATAGGACAGATTTTTAAAACGTAATTCTAATGAGTACATGGCATTAGGTGTTTCTTAAAAAAAAAAAAAACTCAAACCCCATAAAATGCCATATCTCTAGAGAGACAGAGGTCTACATGGATTTTCCACCTATTTCAGCTGCCCAATTTTAGAATAACTTCTGCAAAACAGAAAACTGCTTTGTGACATATTCCCCAGGAAACTAAAAAGATTCCATTTCTATAAGTAGAATTAACAGGTGATTCCTTAGACAAAAAAGATTTACTATATTATGATTCTAAACATTGTTACATAACAATAGACAACACGAACATTTGTTTAGCTCTACACAGGCCCCAACCAAAGAGTTTCTGATGAAAACTATAAACGATATGTCATACTTTTCATATGGAAATGCCAGGTGTTGAGTTAAAATAGTAAAAAAAATTACTTGATAAGCAATGCTATTTTAGGAATTTTTGATACAGGATTTTGAATTTAAGCACAGTCCCTACAATTATATTCATTAATATAACTATCAAAAACGATGAGGGGCCTAGTACATTTTATTTCTAATACTTTTGAAATGACTGGCTTTCACTTTAAAATATTCAATGATAATTATTTAAAATATATACACAATTTTTTATATCTACATATATGCATATTATTTTTGGATGCATAATACAAATTCAGTCCCATAACATCTAACTTAAGCGGCCATGACAGGTTTGTTGGTCTGTTTCTAAAAGACCTACTGCAGTAAGAAATTGTGCCACTAAGTGAGAAGAGGTTTCTGCACAATAAACAGGCTTCTTCCAGAGCCTAAATCAGGTTTGCCACCCCTTTGGCCTCACATGGCACTAATTAGTCTAACAATGTCCAAAAGTAATCTGGCAAATCTAATAAAGATTAGAGAAAGTTCTGTGGGGAGTAATAACGGCCTCTCACTCCTGACCTAAGATTCTCTCTGGCTATCTTTGAGTTTGTATTAAAAACTATACTGTTTCAGAGAGTGATAAAGCAGGAACATTTACTCAGGTCAAATTCTTTCTGTGAATTACCTGGGGGCATACAGGAATTTAGACTGACCAAATACTATACTGACAGAAACAATGTAGTTACAGGGCTAAAAATATTTTTGTCTATAATTTTTACCAAAAATTCTAACACAACTTTCTCTATCCTTCTTCTTCTCTTTTTCCACCAAATCTCACTTTAACAATTATATTGTGAGAAACTTGTACAATAATGTAAAATCTGCACAATATGTTATGATCATATGTTAATATTCACTAAATCAATCATGGAAATATTTAATAATACATGTGAACTGACTTAGAAGAATTAGAAGTGGGGCTTTGGGCGGAGAACTTTTAAATTGATATTTGTTAAACTACAAATTATTATAGATGGTTTTTGCCAACTTGAAAAATTAATCACTCAGGACCTGAAAGCTTATCTACTTAAAGTATACCTGAACCATAACACAATAATCCTACAGAAATTCTAACTTTACAAAATTTTCCTGCCAAGTCGAGCAAATCCATTCAGCCAGTAGTACTGATTAACTGTTTCCTAAAAGGAACACAAAATCATCTTCACTCTCAAGCAAGAACCACTAATATGAGATAAACATTTACTAACACCAAGCACTGTGCTAAGTCCTCTTGACTGCATTATCTCAATTAACCCCACAACAATTTTGCAAGGTGGACAGAGTCTTTTTAAAAAAATAACTAGAGATGAGGTCTCATTATGTTGTCCAGGCTGGTCTCAAACTTCTGGGCTCAAGCTATTCTCCTTGGCTTCTCGAAGTGCTGGGATTACAGGTGTGAGCCACCATGTAATCTATGGTCTGGACAGGGTCTTAAGCAATAGAAAAAAAGCTATGATACATTGCCCACAGATAATATTCAAACTCCTACCCACTAGATGGGGTGGTAGGAGGTGGGGCACTAAGAGGCATTGGGGCTGCAACTACTAACCCACTCACATAGAGACCCCAATATTTTCCCAATAGGAACAGTCTTCTTGGTATGTACCAGCTGAGTATTTACCCTGCTTATACTCAAATGATTTAAATACAAGGTAGAAACTGATGGCAGCAATAAAAAAAAAAGAGAGAGAGACAAATTATTTACGTGATCACAAAGGAAGAAGAGATTTCTGATTGGGGGAAGACATCAGGTAGACTTCCGGGAAGAGGTGTTGCTTGAGCTAGGTTGTGAAAAAAGGGCTGAATTTGAGCAAGTGGCAGTGGCTGGCACTGGAGCTGGAGTAGGGAAGGAAGTTCCAACAAAGTCAGCAAGTGAGCCAATGCAAAGCATCAAGACATACAGGGTGTGTGTGGACAAGGGGAACTCTGAAAATGGTGATTGGGGCTGACCCCACTAAATTAAATGGCGAGAATTTAAAAGTTGATGAGCAGATCAAATAACAACATTTTGAGGGATGATGTGATCTGGCAGAGATGGGCAGGAAGGAAAGGAGGGCAAAGATCAGAAGTAGTGAAATCGGACAGTTTTTATGTAATCACCCAGCTAACTCTCAAAGGTCATTTCCTCAAGGAAGCTTTCCTGAACATGCCTCTCCCACCCTGCTAGCCTGAGTTAAGGGTCCCTCCTCCAGACTCCACAAAGGCCCCCAGCTGGTCTCTGCCACTCCACCCTCCCACTGTGTTAGAATTGCCTGTGCATGTGGTATTGGCCCGAGACTCTCCGCCCCAACCCTCCACGTGAGGCACAGCTGAAGGTCAACACTTACATAATCACCAGACTCCATTTTTAAATATAGACTTGAGCTAAGACATTTTCAGATGAAGGCTGCATAGTTTCTCTAACTGGAGATATTTGTTACAGTGAATTATGAAATCTGGACCTTATTTCAAATCTGTCTTGATGTTATGTGGTCAGATGAGTTCAGATTTAGCCTCCTTTCCCTGACTTGCCTTTATTTCAAGTTGCCTGGCACAGAGTAGGACTCAATGTTGTGATGAATGAGCGAAGTATGAAAGCCTGAGATACAGGAGTCAAGGTGAAGCACAGGTCAGAGGAGAGACGAGAACAAGTGAGGTGCACTGAGAACAGAATTAAAAACTGAGAACAGAATTAACAGGATTTGGCATCCATGATTCCAGGAAGAGGCCAGAAACAACACCGGGTATGCAAACCTAGGGGAGCCAGAGGGCAAGGAGCCTTTTAAAAGAAACAGGAGAAGCAGACTTCAAGAGGAAAGAAGAAAGAGGTTGAGTTCTGTCTTGCATCACACTATCCTGAGTCTGTCGTATCCACAGGACCTCTAGAGGGTGAACACCACCAGCAGTAGGAAATTTGAAAGTGAAGAACTTTTTTTTCAACAAGATATTTCTTATTGGTCTGGGGGAAGGTTCAGAGTCATAATTTATAGAAGTTTATAACTAATTATAAAGACCTGTCTTTACTGTTGTTGCTAATAGCCACTGGAACCAAAGCCTTCTTGCTAAATGCAACACTGCGCTACCAGGAAGTCTGCAACAGGGGAAAAGCAGGCCAGTTTCATAGCCTTCCCTGCAAATCAAATACTCAGGACCCTTCCGTAACTCTGAATCATTTTTGTATTAACATGAGCATCCAAAGAGGCAGTGGTTAAGTGCTTAGATGCTGGAGTAAGGGTTTAAATGCTGACAATTCACAGCCATGTGACCTTGGGCAATGCCTCTAATATCTCTAAGCATCAGTTTCCTCATCTGTAAAAGGTGCATGGTAATAATTGCCTCATAGGATTGTTTGAAGAATTAAATGATATAATACATGTAAAGTGCATTAGCACGGTGTTTTAATATGGCCCTTAAAATGTTAACAATGTTAACAGATGTTAACAATTATTGCCCAAGTGCTACATGATAAAAGGATACAGCAAACTCATTTCCACGAACGAAAAACTGCATTTTAAAAAAGAAACTGCAAAAGAGAGAATGACGTTTGTTCAGTGTTTCTATACATAAAGTTTATTATTATTATTATGCTTTAAGTTCTACGGTACATGGGCACAACGTACAGGTTTGATACATAGGTATACATGTGCCATGTTGGTTTGCTGCACCCATCAACTCATTTACATATTTCTCCTTTTAAACTGCGGGTGGTGGTGCTTGCCTTTATGAAAACAGATAATTTTTATTAAGCATTTTATTGAATATCAGCGATGCCAAATTAACATCAACAACTAACCAGAATCCCATAGATTAAGAAACCAGGATAAAAATAATAAATGGTGCTTGCTTTTCAACCAAGTTAAAGTACAATAATTATAAATCAGGGTGGGACGTAAGATCTGTTGTGTTACTTGTGGGAATGGATCACAAAAGGCATTATGTATACACTCCATGATTTTAACGTATGTTAAATATTGTTACACATACATTTTTATTTATTGAGGCCCTGTTGCCTGAAAGTGCCCAGATATAAACTGTATGACTCTGGCCTGGTCACCGCCTGCCTAGACAAAGCCCCTTAGTCTACCACTCTCATTCAACAAATATTACTGGGCTTCTATTAACCACCACGCACTTGGCTAAGTGTGACAGTACATAAATAAAGACAACCGTCCCGGACCCCTGACAACATGCACAGGGACCCCTGACAACATGCAACATCGCCTCTCTACCCTATCCGAGGACACACAGGCAGACGACGGCAGGAGGGGTCCCCGGTGAGCCGCAGGGGAGACCTCACCTCCCGCGCAGACAGCGGGTCCCCTACCCACGGCAGTGCCCGCTCTTCCACGGTCCTGGCCAGGGCAGAGCGCAGCAGCATCCTCACCCCGCCCGGCCACCCTCCCACTTAGCCCTGCCGCCAGCGTCTCCATGGTAACCGTACACAAACTACCTCCCGTCGCCCGGCCGCCAGATTGCCGGGCCAGGCCGCTGCAGGGCGGGCGGAGCCGGCCGGGGAATGAGCTTGGCGAGGGCGCAGGGAAGGAGGCTTCCGGCCTGACCCAAAGCACCTGTAATGAACGCTTGAGATAGCAGCGGCTGCGAGGTTCAGTTCATCCTCCGGCTCTCCCCAGGCAGTGGCCAAGGAAGCGGCGCTGGAGCTAGCGGGGTAGCCCCAGGTCGCCGCTCGGCCACTGGGCCTGCGCGGGTCCCGCCAACGCATGCGTAGAGGCTCCGAGGCGTGGCGACGGCCGGAGCGGGTGGGAGGAGCCTGGAGAGGGCTGGAGGCCGGGAGGTCAGAGCAGAGCCGGCATCATGGGCAGGTGTCGGCTTTTAAATTAGCAATTTGCCGAGCCACATCTGTTGCTCCCCTAGCGGATCCCAGCGCATCTGTTAAATAACAACAGGCAGGCCGGAAGCTTAATGCTTGCGGGTAAGAAGGATTTACTGGCTCAGGTTAGGGGTCTGTATAACCTCTGAGTTATACAGAGGTTGTATAACTGAGCCTCTGTTTCCTCCGATGTCAAGTGGCAGGAAATATTAATAATAGTACCTATGGAGGTCTTGGGCTGTTATGAAGGTTGCATGAGAAAATAGATGTAAAGAGCTATGCGCGTGACAATCAACGAATATTAAACTGTTGGCTGTTATTAAGCCCCTGCATTTGTAGAGCACTTCAGAGTTCGCAGAGTATGCACGTAATCGTACCTTCTGAATCTGAGGAGGCAGCCTGGCGTCCCCATCCACAGGAGAGAAACTGGGGGCCTGAGGTGTAGTGATCAGGAGAAGGAGATTCCAGTCTAGGTCCCCCGTGGCCAATCGTTTTTTGTTCGTGATCACAGTTGAACGGCAAAAAGCACTCCATTTATGTGTTTCTAGTTTAAATTCCCTTCTCTCCTATTAGACCATTTAGCAACACTTTACGGTGTTAAATACAAGTGAGATCATAAGCACTCTCCATTCAGGTTTGCACCACGATTTATAAATATGGGGATTTTCCAGCTGAAGTGCTATTTGTCATCAACATTGGAAAAATGCCACTTCCTTTGGTGCTAAGCATCTTGTAAAGAATAACTAAATTGAAAATATTTTTGAGCACATACCATGTGTAAGGCATCGTTCCAGGTGGGAAATGATGCTAACCTGAACTAAAGGAATGTAAATATTCTTCAAAATACTCAGGAGGATTTCAAACATAACAGAAAATAAGTACCTATTCATTGATTGGATAATTTTAGGACCCGAAACAAAATATTTTGTGTTCTTCAGGATTAAAGTATTTTCCAGTGACTCAACATGACATATCAACAATTCCCATTTACTGGTCAGTGGACTCCATTGTGAAATGGACCATTGCCCATTTTAAATAAAACTATGTGTTTTGAATTCACAACTTGTGAGACGTCATACAATGCCACTTTATTTTGGTCTCTCGCTATCATTTTAAAATTTATTCAGTGCTAGTTATCTTCTCCTGTCCCTGGATGGGAAGAAATTTGGGGGTAAAGCCCTGGATTTTTCTGCTCATTCTTAGATAACTGACAGTCCTGTCATAACTAAATCTCAACCACAGCTTCATTTCAAAACTATAATGTTGTGTGCAAGATTTAAACAAATGCATCAGACTTCACAGAAAGTAAGTCTTCCTCCCTCCATTCCAGCCCCCAGTTTAAGCTCTCTAGCTGGCCTTCCCTGAAGGGGTGCACTAGGCTTAGGCTTGCCCCCCACCCCCACCTCCCCCCTATTCACTAGAGGTTGTTTAAGACCCAGCTTGGATCAAACCGGCAGTGAGGAGAAGGAGGTGAAGGAAGGAGATGGAGCATTTCTTCCTGTAGTTGAGCAGCTTCAAGCTTGCCGTGCTGGCCTGTGGTTAAAGCAGCTCATGTAGGTCTTTCCTGATCCTTTGGAGTCTCCCACTGATGGGGACCTCCCTCCTGGGGGCTCCTGAAAATCCTAAAAACACAGGGTTTATTCCAGCTTTCAGTGCCCCTTTAGAGAGGTCCCAAGGGAAACCCCACACATCTGTTACCCTAGTGATTCTGAGAGCTCAGGCCTGTCTGGGTGCAGCCCCTTCCAGGCTGCCATAGGCGGGAGCTTTAGCTTACCCAAGAGTGAGTCAGGCTCCAGTTCTCCAGGCCACGTAACTACAGTCTCTGGCAGTCCCAGGCCCCTGGGGAAGCCCCTCTCGCTGGCTTGAGATGAAGGGCATAGCACCCCACACTCCTTTCTCCAAGGAAGTTTCCCCACACATCTTCCCTTTCCACTCTCTGACCCCTTATTTTTAGCTGCAGCCTGGGTGAGGGGTTGAGGGGGTCTTAGGTTTCTTTGTCACCTGCCCTACGGAGACTCTGCCTCACCTCACTTGGAACTGATGATTACATAATTACCATCTCAGTGGAAACATCAGCCTAAAAACCTCTGGTGCAGCCAATTACTAGCTGTGGTCTTACACCTTAGGATCTTGGTCTAAAATAGACCGTAAGCAAGCTACTGGAACCTGATGCTACCCAACTCAGCTGGCCAGGAAATATCTGCTGGGCAAATTAGAACCATTGAAAAGAATGACATGGGTAGAATTAGAGGAAGCAGTTATTTAAAGCAATGAAGCTCCCCAACTTACCTCACTGCAGGACACTATATGAGAAAATACTTCGGCTGTCACAGCAGTGGCGTATTATACGGACCTGGCTGTTTCTCCACTGTTACCTGATGGCTATTTTACAGAATTTTACATCGGTTTTGTAAGTGGCATTGCTTTAGAAACAAAACTGTTGACATGTTTCATATACTTTAGAGAGATTAAAGAGGAAGACAAAGTATTATAAGTATCTGACATTTATAAAGCACTTTATAGTTTCCAAATTGCTTTTATTTGGGACACTTCATTTCTTTTGTCTAATTTGGAGTTTATAAGAAGCCTGGAAAGTAGGTATCTCAATTTGAGATGGGAGGAAACTGAGGTTCAGGGAGGTGAACTGGTCGGCCCACAGGCACACAGCTAGTAAAAGGACCTGAGATCTGGGGTTCTTGATGCCCAAGTTCAGTACACCATGCTGCTATTATACATGCATTTTGTCCCCAGCATGGAAAGGTACTTTGGAGGTTACTGAAGCTGTCAAGCTATGCTCTTTATTTCCTCCTCTCACTTATCCCAGAGTATTTGCTGCATGGGGCTATAGGGATCAAGAGGAACTTAAGAATCTTTACATTCACTTGAAAATGCCTTCTGAATTTCTGGATTTTGAATTAAAGCAAGAATTATATAGGCAGGAGATTGGGTAATGATACGGTTTTATGCAGTCTCAGATGCAAAAATTGCAACAGAATGATGAACTCATAGATGCTTTTCATCCAGACTCTACTAGTAGATTTTACAGTTTATATCATAGTTTCTATCACATATACCTCTTATTTGATATCTATAGCTCATCCTAATTTATCTGTTAGATATATTTTTGAAAAGATACATGTTAAATAAATACTTCTTTAATGTTCACAATTCCCCCCACTGCCCTCTCCCCCTGCCCCCCTCCCCCGATTTTTATGACTACAACTGAGCTGTGACTCACAGGGGGAAAAAAATACTTCTGGCATGGAATGAAAATTGCCAATTTAGAATTCTAATATACACTTCAAGACACTTTCTGCTTTTGTCAGTATAGAATCTTGGTGCTTTAATTATATGTATCACACAATATAGTGTGAGGAGTTCATCAAATTGACAACCTATGCAATCTTTGTATACAAATTTAAAGGCACGAATACATTAAAATGCAACTTGCTGGAAATTTATAATTCAATGAAAATTAACTAACTTCATGGAACTGGATAGACATGAGACTGTGGAATTGTCCTAAAACTTATCAGCTAAAATGTCTATGTAAATCCTGTCTTTATTGGGGCTCAGCTGTGACCTGTACAACTAAGTATTACTTTACCTTTAAGTACACTATCCCGTATCACCCCTGCCACCCCAGGTCACGTGCTCCACCAAGCTGCCAAGCTGTTGACAGGAATGCTAATTAATAAGGGTCCATTTAATTACCAGTAGATTACAGAGTCTCTAAGGACCCTGCATTTCACTGGAAGGGAGGAGGTTCTCGTTTCCAGGGAGTGTGTCAGTGTCAGTAGGATTGTAACTATGAATTACTTCATCCTGAACAACTCTTGGATGTTAAAACAGACCAACTAAGACAATCAGAAACCCAATATTCTTTGTACAACTCACTTATGAGACATTACTTAGTGAGCATGCCTGTATCTTTTGGAAGTTTTTGCCTGCAAATAACAGAATATTCCACCAAAAGTAGCTTACACGCCAAGGACATTTATTGTTTTGTTTAACAGTCACTGGAACTGGGCTGCTTCAGGATTGGCCCTACAGCTCAGGGACCAAGGAGGATCAGTCAAGTCTCCCCACAGGGTCACAAGACGGTGGTGGCCACACTGAGCTGGGAAAGGGGAAGGGCCCTCTCTATGTATATCTCTACACTGAGAAGGAAAACATTTCCCAGAAGCCTCTTGGTCATCTTGTCCTTACATCTCATTGGCCAGGCTATGTCACATGGCCACACACCAGGCCTTGGCAGAGATGGATGGGGCTACCATTACTGTGGTTGATTTCAATCCATCAAGGTTCATCCTTTGGGTTTGGCGGGGAGGAGCCCACTTTGCACACTTTGCTGCCACAACCTGAAGCAAACTGGAGCTCTGTTCAGCAGGAAGGAGGGGCAGTGGCTGTTGGATAGGTCTGAAAGACTGCCACAGTGGCCTGGTGACAGGTCTCCCCAGTCCAAATGGGCAACTGTCACAATCTCTCGATTCTCTAATAGAGAGTTGTCCGGAGAATCAAGAGATTGTGGCAGTTGCTTGTCCCACCTGGAGACAGCTGGAGGTGTAACACAAGGCAGGGTGCTCTATCTTGGTGCTAACTCTCAGGTGAGGCCTGGTCCCTGGTCTCACTGCGGCTCCATCCTGGCTGCACAGTAGAGTCACCTGGAGAGCTTCAGCACCATCTCCGCCCAGTACCACTCAGATGAACCGATTCAGTGCCTGGGGTAGGTGGGAGTATGGGAGTGGAGCCAGCTGTTTAGAGCTGCGGAGGTGACTGTGGTGTGCACAGCCAGCCTGGAGAACCTCAGCCCTGGTGAAGCCAGAGCTCCCCTGCCTGAGAACCTCAGCCACAACCCAGCAGGAGGCAGAGCTGCCT